AGGGGTGTCCCTCAAATAAGCTTATTTGAGGGATCCCTCAATGGAAGCTCTCTGTATATATATATATATCGAAGAATCGAGCTCTCCTCTGTCACTACTCAACAGCCCCAATTCTTTGGTAACTACTAATTGCAATCAATTTTCTCTCCTTTTGCTTTGTTTTGGTATAGTTGTGAATTTTCGATCGTGATGTTGTCGGCTAAGTGTTTGATGTTTTGATTGTGAAGGATTTATGGACTTCTCACCAAGCACTTAGCCCAGAACTTTCCTCACATGGAAGGGAACTATGCGGTACATGTCTACATCCGAGGTAACCAAATTCTCTAATTCTTAGTTCCATTACCAAATGTCATGATTTTGAGGCCTATTGGAGATAAAAACTCAAAACTAGCGACTTGTTACTTTTGTAATTAGTTCTTAGTGTGTTAAAATTTTATAAGAAACAATTAGAAAATGACAAGTGGCTAGTTTTGGGTTTGCCACTCCAAATAGACTCTAGAAGGGGTTTTTGTATATTATGTCATGCTAAAATAAGTTTATCGATAAAAACCTATTTATATAAATAAACAAGTTTTCTTAAAATTTTATATTTAAATTTGATTTAAATTATTTGTCTTTATCCAACCATGTCCTAGTTATCACGTTTGAGTCAAAATTTATGGCATCTTCTACCATAAAATCTTTGAAATAAGTTTGGCATCTCAAAACTCATTTGACGCACGTCTTGTTGTGTTGATAACTTTAAATCAAAAGATTTGAAATAGAACCTTTTTGACGCACAAGTTGTTGTGTACGTAATTAATTCCCGTGCACATTCGTGGTTCGAGTCATCACACGTGTCAGGCCAAGGCGCTTCCACACCAATTTGTCCTCACATGTTACGTCGGCTGACACGTAGGATTTCTCTTTATCCAATATGTCATTTTCTGATTTGATTTGATTTTTGCTATTTTTATCTCTAAGGCGCAACATAGCTTCACCCAGAAAGACCCTGAAGAATGAAGCAAGCTAAAGCAGAAAGGGCCAGGCTCACTGGTTAATGCTAACGTGAGCCTGTAGTGCCCTTGTGTTTCGCTCCGGAAGCTTCGGTCCCTCTCCTTCTTTAGATTCTTTGCGGTTGATTTTTTTGTCGGAAATTAATTTGTTTTCGTTTAAACCCAAAGATTTGATTCAAATGGATAATCGCTGGCTCAGATCAGAAATCGATCCAACGTTGATGGCGGAGCCCTGAGGTGCTCCAGAGTTGAACCATGGCCTTCTCAGCCGCTTCTCGCTCCAATCTCCCCACCTCTTCTTCTCAATCCTACGGCAAGGTCCTCTCTCTCTCTCTCTCTCTCTCTCTCTCTCTCTATACATATATGTATGTATGCATTTGCGCGTGTGTTTGTAGGTTTAAATAGCCATAACTTGCGTTTGGTTTGCGAGAAAGTAGAAGAAGAAAGTAGGGAAATATGGTGAGAATGAATGAAATTTTGGAAGTGGCTAGTTGTTTGCTGCTCATTAATTTCCAATTGAAGTAAAAGCTAGGGTTTATAATGTCAATAAATGATTTTTTGGGAGCTTTTTAGGGCATTAGGGTTTTGTGCAAATTGCAGGGGTTAAGATTAGTGTGGACAAAGTTGAACTGTTTTGGAAATTGATGTGTTCCTGCAGAGATTGGGTCTGTGATATCGGTTAGCTATCATTGTTTATTGCCATGCAGTGTGATTTCAGTTTTGCCCATTTAATTGCTTTTGTTTATCAATTTTGACTGTGAAAAACGCTTTGTACTTTAATGTTTGGTTGGTTTCTTATCAGAAGAGTAGTTACTTATACGGATGCAACATTTTTGCAGTTATGCTCCCCTACGTTCAGCAGGAAGCAGAATAAAGTAGCTTTTATAACTACCACAAAGCGAAAAGGTTCGTCCTTGAGGATTATTAGATCGGTCTTAAATAATAGGAAGTCGAGCATTAGTGACAATGGAGCATCGGAACCTGCAAGGATTCTTCTTGAGAGGTTGTTTGCACAGACTCAGAAACTGGAAGAACAGATGAACCGAAATTCTCATCATCCTCAGGATATCCAGCTAGGGTTTAACCTTGAAATCCTGGAGTCTGATCTTCTTGCTGCATTGGCAGCACTGAAGAAGAAGGAAGAAGATTTGCAGGATGCTGAAAGAGTGGTTTTCTTCGAGCACTGTGAATTACACCGCACAAAGGAGGAGCTGGAGCAACGGGAGAAAGAAATTGCTGCAGCTTCTTGTAGGTATGAAAAAATAGGGGAGGAATTAAAGCAGGCTAATCTCCGCTTAGCTTCCCAAGCCAGGCACATAGATGACATAAAGCTTCAGCTGAGAGAGAGAGATCAGGAGATCGCGGCTGCACAGTCCGCACTTTCTTTGAAAGAAGAGGAATTGGACAAAATGAGAAATGAATTGCTGCTAAAGAGTGAAGAAGCTGCTAAGACCGAGTCTGAGCTTAAATCCAAGTCTCACCTGCTGAATGAAGCCAATGAAGTGGTCAAGAGACAAGCAGTTGAGGTTCAAGGACTCCGGAAGTCTCTACAGGAGAAAGAAGAAGAATTGGAAGTTTCTCAGATGCAGAGGAAACTTGGAGTGGAGAAGCTCAAAGTTGCAGAGGAAAAGTTGGAGAAGCAGACAATGGAGTGGTTATTGGCACAGGAAGAACTTAAGAAACTAGCAGAGGAAGCATCTAGACATGCAGGAGAAACTGGTGAAACTTTAGAGGATTTCAGAAGAGTGAAGAAGCTTCTCGCTGATGTGAGGTCTGAGTTGGTTTCCTCTCAGAAATCTCTGGCTTCCTCTAGACTGAAAATGGAAGAACAAGAGAAGCTTTTGGAAACTCAATGGGAAGAGCTCGAAGAACACAAGGGAAGTGTTATGACTTACTTAACAACTTTGAAAGATGCCCAAATAGAAGTACAGAGTGAAAGAGCAAAGCTTAGGGTTGCAGAGGCTCAAAAAAAGGAGCTTGAACGGGACTTATCCATGGAGAAGGAGCTTATGGAAGAGTTACAAGAGCTGTTGAAGAAAGAGAGATACTCTCTGCATCAGGCTATCAATGGGATTTCTTCGCTCCAAAAGAAGCTAGACAAGAAAAATGCTGACTTTGGGAAAATGCGTGATCTTCTTCAGGTTAAAGAATCAGAAATGGTGGAGGCTAAGCTCGAAATTCAGCATTTGAAATCTGAGTGGGATTCTCTTAAGCTTATTTTGGACGAAAAAGATTTGGAACTTTTAAATGCAAGGAATAAGCTTGAGGAAGTAAACAATGAAATTGCAGAGCTGAAGATGCTTTTGAACAGTAAAGAGGACCAGCTTCTTCAAGCAACTACTATGCTCGAGGCGAAAGATGAACATGTAAACACAATGCAAAATGAGTTGAATGACACAAAGCTGAAATATTCAGAAGCCGAAACTGTGGTAGGACGGATTGTAGAGCTCACTAATAAGTTGGTTATATCCATCAAGGATGATGACTCTAATGCACCCAGAACGTTTGATGACATGGGCCAAGACTTACTGCAGCAACTATTGGAGAATCCAGCTGATGATTTTAGGTTGCAGATAAAACAGCTTGAAACTGAGCTTGAATTAGCAAGGGACAGCTTAAGAACAAAAGAAAGGGAAGTCCTAGCTTCTCAGAGGGCTCTCACAATCAAAGATGAGGAGCTTAAGATGGTTCTGGGGAGACTAGATGCAAAAGAAAAAGAAGTAAAGAAAATGAAAGAAGAGGCCGAAGATGCTAATGATCTGAGAAAGCTATATGCTTTGGCACAAGAGAGATTAGGGGAGAAGAGTATCGGAGACTTGGCAATCGAGAAGCTTCAAATCGAGGCAGCCCAACTGGAAGTTGAAGCAGCAACCAATGCACTCCATAAACTTGCAGAAATGAGCGGGGAATTTTTGCATAAAGCTAGCTTGAGCATTGAGGCTGATGCTTATACCACCATCTTCCTGCCAAATGGTTCTGATCCCAGCAGAAGTGTGGCGGAGAACGATGAATGTTTAACGGAGGTTACAACAGAAGTTTCCCGGATTTCGGCTTTGACCGATCAGCTAGTGAAAGAGGCTGGTATTGTTGTAAGAGCAGGGCCTGCAGGGCATTAGAGGTAATTCAGAAGCCAGTGACCTGATAACGTGTTCTGTACAGATATCCAACTGATCTACTTTCTTTGATTTGGTAGAAGTGATTGCTTGTACCACTCACCACCATAAATAGAATCTAATGTCGAGATGTTAAACGTTGTATAATATGACTTATGAGTTGTATAAAATTTAATTGGTGTTTTCTTATTTTCAATGTATTTTTTTAAACAACAAAACGACTTGCTTTGAACATAAAACACAAGATGAGGAAGATGAGCACCAAACCAAAAGGTCGATAGAGATTCCTGTTCCTTGATTTATACTTGATTTTCTTGTATTTCAAGTTATTTTCTCTTCTTAAAACTTAGGCAGCATGACCTTCACACGATACAGGCTTGTTTCACATGGAAAGCTTCAACCTTGTCCCTTCGTGGTTTCCAGGAAATAACACCCCATAAAATTATGGGTCAAAGTTAAATACATTGCAGTCTTAATCACACAAATAAGTCAATTAGCATATTTACATTTTTATATACACAAGGAGCGAATCTGTTTGCCCTAAATTTGACACTGATAATTGTTTGTTCTGCTGCTCTCCAGCACGCAGAAGTTAAATAGTAAGATGCCCTAAACTACCCAACAAACTAGTTACAGCAGATAAGTATGATTTACAGCAAACTTCACTAGCTCTGGGCAGATGAACTGTGCATAAAACTACCGAGCAAGACCTGTTGAAGCACCCTCTCGGAAAAGGATATTTGCCACGTTAGGAGGCCTCCATGCCGGATTGCCGGAATTCTGACCATCTGTGTGTTGATTCTCATTCTGTGCAGCACCAGTCTGTTGTTTCCTCACCTTGGATCTCCCCATTTTTGATCCAACAAAGATGCCTAGCTTCATGGCTGTGAATAGCCCCAATGCAACCAGAAGTGGTCTCACTGCCCAATGGAAATCCTCAAGATGTTGGTACTTCTTCACAATTCCCGGGCAAGTATCAAACGTAACCAATGCCACTTCAGCAGGATCAGCTACAAAGGTCGAGTTCTCATCCCCAAGAGTCAGCATTCCCGGGAACTTCACAATAAGGCACCCATTTGGTAGGATCCACGATATCCTCCCAGTAGCCCATATCCCTCCCCTCTTACGAGGCCATTCAAAACGAGGGCTCAAAACATTAGCTTTCAGCCTAACAAACTGACCCACACAGTAGGATTCTGCCATTTGAAACTCTGAAGAATTCCCCTTCCAGAGAGTTTCCAACCCTATAAATCCAACAGCTACATTACCATTGCGATTGATGGAATGAAGAATACCTACTGGTGAGTGTTTCTTGTCTTCTTTCTTCAAGCGCACCCAATCACCAGCTGCCAAGCCAAAAGTTACCCGCTCCAGTGTTGAAACATGAACCCTTAATGGGTCATGGATGCCATGAATCCTCACCAAAACAAACCCATGGTGATCTGTGTCACCTTCTACACCCACTACTGTGCCTTCTGGGACATACATACTTTCAGGTTTGCAGGAGTTTGCTGGCTTTCTGGAACGCACTGTGTCTCCCACTTGGAGATGATCCTTTGAAAGGAACCACTCCGTGTAACCAGTGCTACTTGATTTCTCTGTGATTGTTCTAGTCCCAAGACCTGTCCAGTCTCCACCACTGGAGATTGCATTCTGCAAGCTGCTAGTGTGGTAGAAATTAATAAAAATGGGTACAAGCGGTGAACACTTCTATTTCACCCACCAAAAACAAGCAGCAAGCACTAACACAGTTGATTATATAATTATATGAAGAGGAGCATAAATAAGCATCTGCAAAATTTTGTAATATTGACCAACCCATTACAAAGGGTTTCTTTCAACATCTGCAGAGATAACCCTACATGCATATTCTCTATATTAAATTATGAGATTTGAAATGTTGCCTGGGAAGTCATTTTTGAGATTTTTTTTTTTTTTTCTTCCCAATTTTTTGCTTTCTATGCAATTACAGAAAGTTCATGTGATACAATGGCTTCCACAACCATATAATAATCATGCGATAACAACTTAATTAAGCAACAATATCAAAAAGCTTGCATGATCGAATCTGGCTGGGCACAAGAACCAGCAAAGTTTTGTTTGTACTTTGTAAAGCACATGAGCATTCTCTAAATGAAGAGACTGTTTATGGTGGACCTAAAGAACTGCCTATACTGAGAAAGGTAACCACACTTTTAGTTATGATTCTAGATTTATATATGATACAAACATAAGTTAAATCTTTCGAAGTGTATATGAATATGGTCCCACATAAGACACAACGAAGTGATTTCTTCTGCTCACATGTACCTTAAAAATCAATACTTCACACCATAAAACCTGCTTTGTATGCATATATTCTGACTTGGGTTATTAAGAACAATGAGGTTTTTATCAAGTACATGTATTAGAGGTAGAGCAGTTTGTACCCAATATTGCTTAACGAATCTAAATATGAATCATTCACTCTTATGATCATTCTCTCAACTTATATAAGCTACTTCAGCCAATATTAAACAGGCACTGTATATGCCCCTGACCTACAGGAAGTTATAGATCCTAACCCATCATCTGAAGAGCAACGTATAAGTGAAAAGCAACCTAACAGGAGTACCTGCAACTACCTAGAAAGGCTTCATTATATTCATCATCTCAAAAACCCAAAACAGGATATAAACATAGAAGAGACACATACCTTTTAAATATATTCAATATGTCCGTTATTAAAGGGCGACTCCTCAAGTCGTACTCAAAGCAACCAAGAAGAAGATTCTCTATTGCAGGAGGAAGTCCACTTGGTATATCTGGTTTTTCTTGCCTTCTGACTACTGAATCAGATATTTCATCAACAGATTTCCCACCCCAAGGTCGGACACCAGTCAACAGTTCCACAATGCTGCACCCAAAACCCCAAGAGTCGGTCTCAAAGGATATTGGACCTCGTACTTCTGGTTGCCACTGTTCAGGTGCCATGTAGTTTGGCGTTCCGATCCGCCGAGTCATATCTGAGCTTATCAATGGAATGCCAAGCAATAGATAAGGAATACCAAAATCTCCAAGTATTGCTTGGTCATTTTCATTTAGAAGAACATTAGAAGGTTTTAGATTAAGAACCACGATCCCTTTGGAGTGTAGTTCAAAAACCCCTGCTGCCAACCCTATCCCATACCTGTAACCAATAGCCCAAGTGAGAACTGAGCACCGAAAGCTTAGAAAAATAGTAAAATTTAGGATTTTTTTTACTGTCTAATCAAGACTCAAATCACCTCAGAACATCAGAAAGTGCAAGCTTTCCTCCTCTGATTTGAGCCATTTTGTCACCAACTGATCCCTCATATAATTTCATTATGATGCATATCTGAGAGTACAAACCCGAATTGCTTTTAGCAAGCTAGAACTCATATATGTATGGAAATCTACTACAAAAATGTGACTCACCTTTCCACTGATTATTGAAGTTCCATGTAGCCAACAAACACCTCTTAGTCCTTGACACTTACGGAACATATCTTCTAGTTTATCCAACACAATTCTCATGTTGTCTTCTTTAATTGGATGAAGCATCTTGATAGCCACCTCATGATACTCATCATAATCTTCAGTTGACTGATGATGGGTTGCTAACCAAACATCACCAAAGGGTCCCCGCCCAATTCTGTGTCTAAGTTTCAACTTTGAAGGTTCAATCCATGGACTTTTCTGGTCTGTAGAGCCTACGATAGTCCTTAGGTGATCAGAATCACCATCTAAAAGCTCATACTCAAATGAAGCTGACGGTTGGGCAGCGACAACTTGTTTAGCCATTCCTTGATCTGAAGTGATTTTTTATCATTGAAAAATTTCTAAATGAGGTCACCATTAAATTTTTTTTTAACAAAATCATACAAATGAACAAGAATCCTATGATCTTCTAATTGCAAGGGAGTATTTGTCAACAGAGTTATGCCACTGAACCAAGGGCGAAGTGGCCCACTCTGAATCAGATATGCATGCCCTTTCATCTGAAAAAGTGTCAAACAATAAACTACAAGCATATGTTAATAAAATTATTTTGAGCACCCAGATCCTCTCCCCTTCTCTGTTCATTTAGCTCAAAATCTCATATGACATTACGAAGCGTGACTGAAACGTTTTTACAGGAACACAAGGTATCACTACTCTTATTAGAATTCTCACACTTCATAACTAAGCATCAAAAGTTGTCCACCCTTATGTGCGGTTTAAAAGCATCAACACTTCATTTTCTTTCAGATTCTTCAATTTTCCCAGAAACCAAATGGAACATAAATAAAAGTATCCAAAGCTCCCTTTGGTTGCTGAGAAATCGGAGAAGCACAGAAAAATTTACCTCTAGTAATTCAACTATTTCATAATTTTCTGGTAACCCAATAACAAAAAAGCTATATGGGTTCTACCCAATTTGATCATTCTATGATAATCTAATCAGACAGGATAGCATCCACATCAAAAATTGTGAAAAGTTTCAACGGAACAGAGACTAAAAAGAAAAATTACAAATTTAAATAAATACACAAAAGGATCAGAAGCATTTTTAGATATAAACAATATACTCACTGAAACTGAGACTATGGTGTTGAATTCCGATGAGTTTGAGATTTCGACGAATTTAGAGTAAAATTTACATGCGTCAGACTCAGAGAGAGAGAGAGAGAGAGAGAGATAATAACGGTGTATATACAGCAAATGGGAACTCCTTTAGTTGGGCTTGTAGCGGTGAAGCTGGGCCCCCTGCGAATCCGGAAGCTTTTTCTTTTTCTTTTTCTTTTTATAATTTTCCTTTATCAAATGCTGCGCCAAATTACCATCTTGCCTTTTTACAAGAGTGTGCACGCCAAGAAACTTTCATCAAGCTTCTTCTTCAATCAATCTCTCTTGAACATGGCAAAGGGAGAGGAGTTTACGAAGCAACTAATGACAGGGAATTATTGATGTTGAATTTAGACCCAAGAAAAAGAAAATAAATAAATAAAAGAAGAATAATTGGATTGTTGAATTGTTTTACTTTATTGGGAAACTAATTGGGAGCATTTTTGCTTACCACTTTAACACAAGGTATACCATCACCATCAATCTCAACATTTGACACGTGTCTATTGACATAACCATGATTGCATAAATACAAAGTAAAGAGTTAACTATGATTATGACAAGGGACACGTGTCAAGTATTGAGATGGGTGATGATGGTACACTTTGGATTAAAGTGGTGAGCAAAAATAAACCTAAACTAATTAGCTCACATCTATCGCTTGTTTTTTTAACATTATTTTTCTAAATTTTTATAAACGGTAGTGATGGGCAAGTTACTTACTCCTGAGAGAATTGCATGTTTTGAAAGCGACAATAATGGTTAAAATGGTATTTTCATTTTCTTCTTCTGTGGCTTATTATGACTGGCTGAAAAACTAGAAAAATATTTTGTCGATTCACCCAAATAAAAAAAACTTCCTAGTGTTTGACAAATGAGTCCTATATCACATCAGCGACTGATAATTATTCATGCGTGAAAGATTTTGTTCGTAACTTATGAATCCCACATCACATCAACCACGATCAAACTTCCATGATTACAAGAGGTTGTTCAAAATCACGGGCGGAACTACCCTATGGGCTACAGCCCACTGTAACTAGCCCAGGGAGGTTTTCGGATTACATTCTTTTCACGGGCCTGCTTGTTTACACAAACACTCATTCTTTTATTGACCTGCTTGTTTACACAATCCAAGAGTAGTAGAATCCCCAAAACCTTATAATTAATTTCCAAAGCACCCATAAATCAACCTTTCTTCATTGTGCCTTTCCCTAATTCTCTATCTCTCCAGCTTAAATAATTACTACATCTAGACCTCAAATAATGTTTCCAAACACGTTACAATTTGTTAATTAACACATCTCGTAGATCATATCCTCCGTTATATACATCTGTATCGTCTAGCTGAATTTTCACACATAAAAAATTATCATCTTTTCTCTTAATCACTCAAGAATTTATCAGTCAAAACTTTAGAAAAATTTGAAATTCCCCATTTTTCTTTAATTAAGAATTAGAAACTATATATTTGGCTTGTTCTAAATATAGCCAATATGTATTAATTTAAATTCAAAAAAGTCTAATTCTTTATAAATTTAATTGTTGGGCATCCATAAAAATATATATGCTAGTTCGTAGCATGGTTTATATAATTTAATGTATACATTTTATTTCTAAAAATACTATAAAAACAATAAATTTAGCACCAATTGAAAATTTTCTGATTCCACCCTTGTTTGAAACTTAGTATGGGTTGTGATTAAGGCTTAAAGGTGCCACCCATAGTTGGGGCCCATCCAGGACCACCTCGTGGTTCAGACCAAAAAAAAAAACTTGATCAACGGAAGCTATACTCATCAGTGACTTGTTTGAGTACAAGTCGCACGAAATGTCTATAGCTCTTGCATTGAGACTGTTCCCCAATAATGATGAATGCATCCGGATTAATTTTTGGCCGAATGAATAATAGCGTTTGACTAAAGTCCAAATACTACTCCACCTTAGCTGTCTGAGAAAAGAGTGAAAAACCATAGCGCCGCTCTCTCTGCTTGGGCGATTTTCCTATTCTCTTAGCCAGCGCCGACACCTCCTTGTGAGGGGGAGGAGGGGCTTTACCCTCCCCCCTCACCCCCTGTTGTGATTTGCTGGTCTATCGAGGTCTTCTCTCGCGCACTTGGTACCCCCATTTTGCTGGTCCCGATGCTCTCTCCTTGGATGAGAGCCAGTGACGTCGTTCGAGCATACTCTGCTTGTATCGAAGGCTTTATGCCTCTTATCTGCTCAGATCCCTCACATCTCCACCGTTCCAACTTTCTCAGAGCTGTCCTTTGGCCGTCGTCACTTACTTTGCTGGTTTCCCCTTGGTGCGTCGGTGTCTACGATTCCGGTGAAGATGCGATTTCTTGGGTTGTTGCTGGTCAAAACCCAGATCCCCCCACTTCCCTTTCGAACCGATTTCATCACCCGGTTACAACGGCCAACCCAAAACGCGATCTCTCGCGTCCCCTTTGGAAGGTGTGTAGAGCCACGACTTCGTGCCGACTCTGGTGCTTGCACCACCACCTTCCTGTTACTTGGTTACTATTCCTGTGCCTTTGGACTAATCTGAGAGTCGCTGGCTTTTGTGGTAGATCTGTGATGCGGATCTGTAGTTTATGTAATTTTTCTTGTTTCAGCTTGATGTTGCTACCACATGTTAGGTGTGGGTTTCGTTTTAATGCTGGCCTTATGGCCGTTTAATTTCCTTTCGGTCGGGATCATGATCTTCATGCTAGGCCTATGCTTGGGTTTTAGTTAGATCTGATCCTGCTTGTGTACTGTTCCCAGTGTTCCTTGCCCCTTTGTGGGTTTGCAATGAATTGCCTTTCTGACAAAAAAAAAAAGAAGTCCAAATACTACTCCACATTGCCCAATTTTTATTTTTATTTTCTTGTTAAACATGTAAAGGTTGTAACGGTAAGCAGAAACGAAGTGCGGGAGCATCGACACCATCCATCGCTCCTGCCATTGGTTACCATGCGTGTGGCGATGAACATGTCAATACACTTACACAAAATGTATTGGTAATCTGTTATGGTTTTGCAGTCTCAACATATTTTTAAAACACAAGTGATAGTTTAAAGTATTAATTAATGAAAATGAGATCGAATTCAGATGGAAACAATCAGATAAATTGACTTAATCAACTAGTCTAACCCATGTATACTTAAATCTCAAAATTAGAAGATAGTCGGAATGAGTAGCCTTTCAAAGTAACAAAATAAGTCTCCATTTTTATCCACTTACACTTTATTTTTTTAAAATTGTATGTTCTCACTTCTTTTTTGTTCACTTACACTCCCTTATATCTTACATCCACGTCAAAAATTGTGAAAAGTTTCAATGGAACAGAGAATAAAAAGAAAAATTACAAATTTAAATAAACACACAAAAAGATCAGAAGCATTTTTAGAGATAAACAATACACTCACTGAAACTGAGACTATGTTGTTGAATTCCGATGAGTTTGAGATTTCGACGAGTTTAGAGTAAAATTTACATGCGTTAGACTCAGAGAGAGAGAGAGAGAGAGTAATAATGGTGTATATACAGCAAATGGGAACTCCTCTAGTTGGGCTTGTAGCGGTGAAGCTGGGCCCCCTGCGAATCCGGAAGCTTTTCTTTTTCTTTTTATTTTTCCTTTTTATTTTTATAATTTTCCTTTATCAAATGCTGGGCCAAATTACCATCTTGCCTTTTACAAAAGTGTGCACGCCATGAAACTTTCATCAAGCTTCTTCTTCAATCAATCTCTCTTGAACATGGCAAAGGGGGAGGAGTTTAAGAAGCAATTAATGACAGGGAATTATTGATGTTGAATTTAGACTCAAGAAAAATAAAATAAATAAATAAAAGTGTAGGAGACTTTTTCCTCCGGCAACTGTAAATGGGCTGGGCTGGCGTAAAGGGTAGACTGATGAAATTGTCCCATTTGTCTGAGTTCGAAAATTAAGCCCTAAAATGCCTCGAAAGGGCAGCAGGACCTTATGAAGTATTTTGGTTACCTTCACCAACCAAAACAACAGCAACTTACAGATAATTTCTTAATGCTTACAGATAAACTTTTGGGCTTGGCATGAGAGGCATGTGGCATGGAAGCAAAATCAACATGAGTTTAGCACTAAGGGGAAATTTAGGCTTTCTTAGGGGGAGAAGGAAAGTGTTAAGGTGAGTAAGAAGAGGTTTGTAGGAGATTTGGCTAAGGGGAGAAGGACATGCTTTTAATTATGACGCTTGATATGATAATTGGTATGGATTTGTAGAGCTAAATGCATCTTTATAATTCTAATCTTAATTTCTAGCATGACAGATTTTTATTTGTCATGGCATGCAGGGTGTGGCTTGTGTATGGCAGACTTTCGTGTACTCCAAATCGAGTCTTTTTCCAATAATATATCGTTTTGGGCTAGGAATTTATTCGGGCCTAACCATGGATTTTTTGGGCCTCAACAAGAATAATAATGATTTGATTGTTGAATTGTTTTAGTTTATACTTGTTTTTTTAATATTATTTTTCTAAATTTTTATAAACGGCAGTGATGGGTAAGTTACTCATGAGAGAAATGCAAGTTTTGGAAGTGACAATAATGGTTAAAATGGTACTTTCATTTTCTTCTTCTGTGGCATATTATGACTGGCTGAAAAACTAGAAAAATATTTTGTCGATTCATTTAATTGTATATTGTTTGCGTGCAATATTGTGCTTTGTCCCCCTTAGAAAAAACTTCCTAGTGTTGGTCGTTCAAGTTGTCAAAACAATTGTATATTATGGTTAAGTAAATCAAACACACTAACAGTGACCAGTGGCGGAGTCAGGATTCTCAGGGCAAGGGGTCATAGTGTAAAAGTATAGAAATTTTTTTTATGAAAAAAATAACACTAAAAAGCAAAAAGATAGTACTTTCATTCAAATCTCCAAAAATTAAGATATGAGTATGACCCCTATAGATCAATTAAAACAATATATTTATTAATTTTTATAAACTATTATTATACTAACATATTAGTTAAATATGTCACTGGAGTAAAAGGTTAAAAGGGTTTTATTAATAAAAATTTGGGCCAAACTTTTTAGAAAACCTACAAGTTAGTGAAACGGTGAGTTTCAACTAAAATGAGGAATAAGCTAGGCAACATCACCAACATCATCTTCACGACATCATCTTCTTCGCTGCCTAACCCAAAAATAATCCAAGTCGTGGTGCTGGAAGAGTACGTTTGGAAGAAGGTTAGAGAGCACTGAGCAGTGCAAAGGCAAGCCCATAGGGGACTTTCATCGAGTATCTTACATGCACACAAGGGGTCGCTGGTGGAGTCCACGACCAGATTTCCGGCATTCCAAGAGGTCGTGCGACCCCTCTTATCTCAACGTGCGTCCGCCACTGCATATAAAGTATTTTGAATTGTGTTTGTATTTGTGTATGTCACTCAATTAATTAGCTCCATTCTCAGTCATATAACGAGGTTAGCTACATATTATATATATATATATATATATATATAGTTATATAGTTATTCTCTCATCCAGATATCCGCACGTTGTTATTGTGCAGATGTCATTGTAAACATGGAGGAAAGCAGGGAGGAGTAGTATAAAATATAGAAAAGTTGATATAGATCCAAATTTCTATCCAAGAGTTGAGTTTAATCCTCGGATTTGGTGACTTGATACAAGTCCTTTGACTTTTGTGCCCATAGGATTATATTCCTTTTTAAATATTGTATGATGTAATCTTTTTATTTTTATATTTTTAAAATCATTTTTTGTTCCAATATTGCCCATTATCTTAGATTACTTACCTTAGTGAGATAATTAGCCAATATTATGTTTCCTTATCCAATTTACCCTTGAGCACATAAGACGTAAGGAATAACGAAGTTATTAATTGCAGCAAATTTTAGGGTGGTTTTATAATAAATTACTAAATTTATGGTGAATTTAGGATTACATTCTTTTCACTGGCCTGCTTGTTTACACAAACACTCATTCTTTTATTGACCTGCTTGTTTACACAATCCAAGAGTAGTAGAATCCCCAAAACCTTATAATTAATTTCCAAAGCACCCATAAATCAACCTTTCTTCATTGTGCCTTTCCCTAATTCTCTATCTCTCCAGCTTAAATAATTACTACATCCAGACCTCAAATAATGTTTCCAAACACGTTACAATTTGTTAATTAACACATCTCGTAGATCATATCCTCTGTTATATACATCTGTATCGTCTAGCTGAATTTTCACACATAAAAAATTATCATCTTTTCTCTTAATCACTCAAGAATTTATCAGTCAAAACTTCATAAAATTTTGAAATTCCCCATTTTTCTTTAATTAAGAATTAGAAACTATATATTTGGCTTGTTCTAAATATAGCCAATATGTATTAATTTAAATTCAAAAAAGTCTAATTCTTTATAAATTTAATTGTTGGGCATCAATAAAAATATACATGCTAGTTCATAGCATGATTTATATAATTTAATGTATACTTTTTATTTCTAGAAATACTATAAAAACAATAAATCTAGCACCAATTGAAAATTTCCTGATTCCGGCCTTGCTTGAAACTTGATCAACGGAAGCTATACTCATCAGTGACTTGTTTGAGTACAAGTCGCACGAAATGTCTATAGCTCTTGCATTGAGACTCTTCCCCGATAATGATGAATGCATCCGGCTTAATTTTTGGCCGAATGAATAATAGCCTTTTACTAAAGTCCAAATACTACTCCACATTGCCCAATTTTTTTATTTTATTTTATTTCTTGTTAAACATGTAAAGGCTGTAACGGTAAGCAAAAACGAAGTGCGGGAGCATCGACACCATCCATCGCTCCTGCCATTGGTCACCATGCGTGTGGCGATGAACATGTCAATACACATACACAAAATGTATTGGTAATCTGTTATGGCTTTGCAGTCTCAACATATTTTTAAAACACAAGTGATAGTTTAAAGTACTAATTAATGAAAATGAGATTGAATTCAGATGCAAATGATCGGACAAACTTACTTAATCAACTAGTCTAAACCATGTATACTTAAATCTCAAAATTAGAAGATAGTCGGATTCCATAAATTGAGGTTTAAAAATATAAACTAGAGATGAAATAGAATCTCAGAATGAGCAGCCTTCCAAAGTAGCAATTAATTTAAACAAGTTGTTGATTGAACCTCTTTAAAAAAAGTGACAAATTCATAACCTATTTTTTTGGGTTCTGAAACAAATTCATAACTGTGACAGTGGGAAAGGTAGAAGGGAATGGACGCAAAATTGAAGTGGCAGTCTCTATAGAGCTGAAATTTTAAAGTGAGTGTGCTTCTTTTACTGTCCTATTTTCCTCACCCTACTCATCTTTCCCATTGCTACAACTCCCATGATTTCTTTATTTCTTTTTTGCTCTCCAATTATACAAATTACACTTCCCCAAAATCATAAAGCAGAACAGAAACCCAGATAAGATTAACAAAAACATTATTGTAATTACAACAAGTGGCTCCCTTGTCAAAACCAAGTCCAAACAAAAGAAAACACAGTAATTCATTCATTTATCATTACAAATATTACATTATAATCATAGACACATCATCCAATTTCCATTCCCAAATTACCCCAAAAAGAAAAAGAAAAAGAAAAAAAGAGAGAGAAACAGAGCAAGTCACTCACTCAGAGAGGAAGGACCTTCTTGACAATCTGGTCACTGAGATTGGCAATCTGAGAGTCAAGGGCCTTAATGGTCTCCTCCTTCTGCTCCTCCAACTTGGTCAAAGCCTCCTGCAACTCAGCCTCCACCTTCTTCCTCCCCACCGCCAATTTCTGCTCCACCTCACCCTGCGTCTCCTTCTTCATCTTGGTCAGCGCCGCCGATATCTCAGCCCTCGCAGCTCTCATGATGGCAATGCCTTGCTGCTCAAGTTGCTTCACCTCCTCCGAAGTGTCCTTCACGCTGCCCAGCTTCTCTCTGATCGCCGCGTCTCTCTCGTCCATGAATTTCCCGAGCGGGCTGTAGTAGAGCTTGTCCAGGGCCACCATGAGGAGCAGGAACTGCACCATTTGAATGGGGAGGGTGAGGTCGAAGTCGAAGAGGGCTGCCTTCTCTATCTCCTCCGCGAAGGAGGGAGGGGCCCAGGAGAGGGAGGTTGCTGCGATGACGGAGAGGGACGACGAGAGGGAGAGAATCTGGGACTTGGAGAGTTTTGGGAGGGTTGGGATTTTGGGGATGGAGATTTGGATTGGGATTCTGGGCTTCGAAATGGGAGATGGGGAAGGGGAAGAAATGGGTACTTTGGAGGAGGCCATGATCATGTTGGCCATGGCGACTCTGCTGCTTTCTTTCTGGTTTCTGTTTGTTCTCTGGAGCTGGGATTTTCAGAGTTTGTGGGATTTGAGGGGCTGAGAGTGTAAATCTTTGCAGAGAGGGCTATCTCATTCTTCGCCACACATTTTGACATGAGGTTCTGATGGATGGAAGAGTTGGATTGTGACTTGACCCACAGGAGCCCCTATGATTGTCGGATCCAATTCATGGGTCAAAAAGAATTTGACCCATGAAACACAATTGGCCCAAAATTCAATTCTTGGAATTGTCCTGGCCCAAATAGTGGGTGGCTTAAAACATGAGAACTCTCATCAAATAATTACAATGAAAGCTTCAAAAAGACAAGACCCTCTCTCACGAAGAAGAATCAGTTGCATCATTGTACTTGCTGAATTCCAAATTCCTTAGAGGTACAAGTTTTTTCTTTTTCTTTTTCTTTTTTGAGGTGCTGTGAATGTGGGAAGTAGAACATCAGACTTTAAAGTGGCAAATGACTTGTCTCGTGTAGGCCAAGTATAATTTTATGATATTCTAACCAAATTCTGGGCAGCAGGAACAAATGCATGTTATTTTTCCTGAGCACTAATCTACTCTCCAAGTATCCCTTCGACTATAGCGTTTATCGCGTTTTTCAAAACAAAGCCCAAACATCTTCCTAAACCCAACCAGCAACCCAGTGGCAATGCTTGGGGCACACGCTAAACTTCTTTTAGATGTGGTTCCTACAGCTGACAGCCTGGAGTAGGGAAACCACTCTCCCAACAAGCTAGGCAGTGTGCTCTCATTGTGTTCGATAGAAACTTCACCATTACAATGTGGGGACTTTGGATTCTCGATGTCATCAGAATCATAAAATACCTCGTCATGCTGTTCGATGTCTCTGTCACTCTGCTCTTCCTCTTTGTCAATCGCTTCTATCTCTTCAAGACTAATTGATCGTGGTATTGACCTGCACATTATCGAACATATGAACTCAATGCACAACATGGCTGGCCAGGCAACAATGGTCCTTATCTGTGTAGGTGGTTCCATGTTTTTGTGCTTAAAATTCTTATAGAAGAGAAATGCCAATAGAGAAAGCCTCACGTCGTGTTTTGTTTCGAACCAATGAGCCCTTTCTTTGATTGCTTCTTTGTCATGGTGTAGCTGATTGAAACATGCCGGACAAAATGAAGCTGCATGTACCAAACACGACGGGTTGACATAAATGAAGAAAATTCCAATGACATAGGAGGCATAGGCCAAATGAGGATGAAATACACAATTGTGTGTGACAAGGGCTCGATTCTTACTTCCCCTCCCCTTAATAAAAAAAAATAGAGGAGGGAAGAACAAAAATGCAACTATATGCTAAACACGGATATGAAACCGAATAGAAGGAAATACAACTTCTTAATGATGATAATTCTGTAATTCACCAACAATGAATATGCCTCAGGAAGATCAAACAAAACTGAAGGGATCTGCCACATACCTGATCACCATCTTTGATGCCATAATGTCTTATATGATCAGTTTCAACAACTAGCTTCTGAGCACCATAGCACAAGCAGAAATGCCCCCACACGTGTGGCCTAAATAAACCATATTTAAACAAGGAACATCACTAAGAATCCAATTGTACAATGAACTTCTCAACTCAATAGTATGAAAAAATGCAAGTTCCCATGGAAAATGAGCAACCTTATAATACATTTTCTAAACTTCACAACTGAAGGCAAAGACAAATTTCTGTGATTAAATGATTTTTTGTTTTAATCCAAAATACTTCAATTAAGGATGTGAAAATACCATGAAATTTTTCCTGGTCCCTTCTGCGGCATGTGACTAAAAACGGCCTCCACCGCCTGCTTCAGTTCTAAAACAGTGGCTGTCTTGGCAACTTCAATATCTGTGAAAGTGAAAATCTTAGTTCATGCAAGTCCTCAGAAAAAAGAAGGAAAAAACACCTCAATTCATCCAAATCCTCAACCAAAAACAAAAGATTGAAAAACATCCTAATCCATCTAATTCTCAGCCAAATAACAGAAACCACGAGAAAAACTTTATAAAAAAAAAAAGCGAGAGAGAGAGAGAGAGAGAGAGAGAGAGAGAGTCAGCTGTATTGAGGATTGAATTGGAGAACTATCAAGACAGCAAACTGCACAATACGTTACCCTTAACCCCTGTTTAGTTTCTGAGAATATGATAAGGAAAAAGAAAGAAGAACAATCAAATCCTACGAAGATTGGAAAAACCGTGTATATTTCATAATGTAAAATACTAAAATCTCTGTATATGAAAATTTCCCAATATGAATAAGGAAACCAAGAAATCAAATCCGACATTGACCCTGAAAGCTTTTTACTCGTAAAATTGTGTTTTCAGACCAAAAGAACCCACAATTGACATAAGTTGACTGCCTATATTCCCACAATTTTCTTAGCAAACAAACAAGCAGCAATGAGATTAACCATCTAGAAAGAGAATTACAGAGGCAGATAGAATTCCTAAGCCTTTCCAAGGATTTAAACCCAAATGTAACTAAAAAAAAAGGTGAAAAATTTAGTTCCTTTTCCAACATTTTCTCGGCAGCCAAACAACAGCACCAATGCACCACCACAGAAATTCAGAAACAAGAGAAGAGAGAGAGAGAGAGAGAGAGAGAGTACCGAAACAAGAGCCGTCCAATTTGAGAACAGAGAGTCTGAGAGGCTCCTGGGGAAGGGCAGAGTAGGAGAAGCTCTTGCGAGAAAAGCCATCGATGAGCAGCAACGGGACGAAGGGCAAGGAATTAGAGCGGCGAGGGCGTTCGACGGAGGAAGGCCTGACAGGGACAAAATCGTCGTCGTCAATTCTCAGCGTGCTATACGACATAGCTGTGTGAATTTCTCCCTGGCCCTCTCTCTCAACCCATGCCCTTATACCAAAAATGGAGCTACAGATTAACAATAAAAAAAAACCAGAAAAAAGAGATAGAGTGAGAGAGAGAGGGAGGGGGAGAGAGATTCCTATGGAAGCAGAACACGCATTGTAAAGACGCTTGGTGCTTTGGATTTTCAAGGGCTTGGGCTTTCTGGGAGCAGTTTTGGAGCTTCTGTCGGAGGCAATTCCAGAAGGAAAAAAAAGAAAGAGAAAAAAGAGAACAGAGAAAAGCGAGAGAAGGAAAGAGGGAGGGAGAAGTTTTCCCTCTTTTTTTCTTTTTTCTACGTTTTGTTATATTCGTTTGGTTTTGTGAGGCTTGAGAAGATTGCCAGTTGTTCAGACAAAAAAAAAAAAAAATTTTAAAAATTTAAAAATTAATGGAATGGCAGTTGACGTTTTAACTCTTTTGCGGCAGTAACTGACCTGCCGTCTTTAGGCGCCATCTTCTGTCCTCTGATTTTATAGAACAATTTTTTCTTTTCTTTTTTGGTAATGGTTTTATAAGACAACCTTTAATTAACACACTATGAAATTAATAAACTTTTTTTTTTATTAAAAAAAAGTTTACTTTACATTTTTATAAAACAAATACTTGATTCCCTTTCACATATGTTTCATTTTTCTTTTTCTTTTTTGAACTATTTTATTCAATATATTATATATTGTATGTGCAATAACCATTTCAAAAGGATGACTTGGGAAGAAGAATAATAGGGCTCGCTTGCATCCGATTTTGAATCTCTCTACATATATTCATTTTGTTAAAAAAAATAAAAATAGAGCTATTCACAAATAAATCCCTCAAAATTTGCTTTCATAGTTTGAAAAACACTTTAAAACACTATTTTTAAGTAAAAAAAACCCAAGAACCTAACTGTTATTTCATTAGAAATTTAACAATTGATAGGTGATTAGACATTTAACCTCAATAAAGAGTAACAACCAACACCTCTATGACAACCAATACCTATATGATCCAAGCGTTTGCTCTTATAACCACTTTTGTTTCAACAAAACACACCCCAAACAATTGAATTTGTTAAAGCCTTAAAGGTAAGAATCGCATATTAGTAAATATTTGGATGCTAACATGCCAAATACTTTCCCTCAATATTTTGGTACTTTATTTGGTTATCTTTCAACAATTTCAATTTCCTTTGATTTTATTTTTGGGTAGCAACAGAAGATGAAAATGTCACTTACCAGCGCATGCCTGAGGCCTTGCATGTCGTGCCTTAACAGACACGCACTTCAAACACAAAAAATTGATATAGGTTTTACCAAACTCATGCACCGAGGTCTTGTTTTCGAATCCCCTCAGCCAGTATCATTTGTATTAAAAATAAATAAAAAAGAAAGTGAGCATGTTTGACTGAAAACCTTGGAATAAGAAAGGCTCACAATGTCAAGCTTTAAAAAAAAAATATATTAGATGAGCAAGCAGCTCCCAATGCCAAATTGCCACCATTGTTTCTAACACCTATCCATATAGAAGAATAATTACAGGGCAAAAGTAGCAGGCCTCATTCCCCAGTTAAGAGTTAAATCCGCTGAGCGGAAATATTCTGAATTAACAGTATCACATCTCTTCGTCCAAAAAAAAAACAGTATCAAATCTCACTTGTAGTAGCCCCATAATCAAAAAATCAAAATTGGCGGCCGAAGCAAGGGCAGCAGCAACTAATCATCTTCAGCGCAGAAAACCAGCCATTTGTTGAAAATGTTACTTCCCTATGAGCTTATAGTAGGCATACAATCCAGAGCCAAAGAAACCCAGAAATTGCCCAATAACATTCAACTAGTAGAACAAACAAAAAACAGACATCAATTTCTAAATAGAAGGAGAAACAAGTTCTTTTTTTTCTTCTTTTTTTCAGAATGAAGAATCGTTTGCACTTACGATATCAAATGGAAGGCCACCGAATAGCATCCAGCCAAGTCCAATGGTGAAAAAATCCTACACCAGTTGAAGTAACCAAAACATATAAGAGCTTGAATAAAGATAAGAAAACATCGTACATAGGCTGCTAAATTATGTTGTATTACATCTGAGAAATAAATTTAGCCTAAACAAACCTTCAAGTTGCCGCAAATTGTCTGTGTGAGCGCTGAATTTAGAGTTGTGTTCAGGAATATGCTGTAATTCAAGAAGAATGCCAGTATACAGGAACAAAGCAAGACAGCCTGCCAAAAGGAGGAAGAAAGGAAAAAACAATGCATCTCAATAAAACCCTACCAAATTACTTGGAATTTTATTTAAGTACTGTAAGAAGAAGTAAAATAGGCATGGTATACTTGGGCGATTGATGTCAGTTGAATCCATGAGATGCCAACAACTGCAAATGATGATGTAAAATGCTACTTACAAATAGCATTGAAACTCATTTTGTATGGTTTCAAAACTTAAACTACTGAACATGACAAAATAATTCAAAGGTCCAAACGCCCCACTTCCACCAATTTCAAGCATAATATATAACACTAATCCATACAGCCCAAATAGACAGCTGGAGGCGAAAGAAATCAATGAAGCTCTACATGAAACATGACAGATTTATCTTAAGTTCAATTAAATAGCTAACTGCAATTAAATATAGCACTGGAACAATATCATACACAGGTAACCCATGAACCAAACTGAAAGTAAAATAACGTTAACAGCAAATTATATAATATAAAAAATTGTCAAATACCAGTAAACTAAACCTTTCAATAAAAATGCAATCAGTGGGGCATAAAGTGTACCAGAAGATAGCATATTTAAAATAAGCTAGCAAAACCACAATGCCATGCAGAAAATACAGATAAGGCACATTTCAGGAGTAGCAAGGCAACTTTCAAAGTGTTAAGTTTATATTTATTAGCAGATAAGAGTGCCGTTGGTAAAGAAAGTACCATAAAACCAGGTGAAAACAGATAAGGAAAATCGATTGTCGTCTTCAAGTCACCACGAATAAAAGTCAAAAACAGCAAAGCTGGCCCACATATGACTCCTATCATAGAGAAACAGTACCATTTTATGTCACAGTTGGAATTTAATTAATCAAAACTCCTAATTATGCACAAAACCAAAAAAAAAAAAATAATAAGAGAAAAAATCCAGAGGACAAAAATTGAGTCAGGATGGTTTATCTGACCGTTACACCACATAAGGCCAAAGCTATTAAGGCCACTGGATTTCCCTGAGAAAAAGAAAGTAACAGTCAATATCTTAGAAACCTGTCAAGCTAGTAAAGGGGAAATGTAGTGAAAGATTTCCCAAAAGGATAAATTGTTAAAGTACTACCAATACGGGCTATGGTTGCAAGATATACTGCTGTTGTGATGTTAGATACGAAAACAACAGCATAGCCATAGGCGTCAAATGACAAATCCCGAGATCCAGCAATGAATGCACCAAGAACGATCAGTCCAACACTGATAACAACCTTAAAATTTTCAGTTAAATGAGAAAATCAGGTAGATGGTCTATAAAGTAAAACACATAATGTAGAAGCATTTTTCATTACATTCATTCATTCATGGCAAAATGTAAAACTTTCTCACTGGACCAATTCACGACCATAAAGAAAAGTACCAACAAGTCAGCTTTCACAACTTTCATCCAATAAAAGAGAAACCATCCAATTCTTTTTGTCTATCTAGAAGAGCAGATGATCTGTACATTATTAACATCAGCATATGAAGAATAAATTATAAACAAAAGGGCCATTTACCTTCGAACAATAGGAGATGTATATCTCTGCCCAGCCAAAATATACTCCATAACCATTGTAAATACCATAGTAGTTCTCCTGAGGGTGGTGTACATGGGAACATTTACTCCACGGACAGACTCCATGGAGGCTAGCTTTCAAGGAGAAATAAATGAATGGGCAAACATTAATCACAAATACAACTAAGAAAACTATTGAATAATAGTTACCGACCAAAACAATCTAACTAGGAGGAATCACTGCATCATTATGTTTCCTTTCACAAAATTGTTATTAAAAAAATAAAAAAAAAGGAGCATGCTCGACATTAGATTACACAATGCATACCATGTACAGCAAATAGGCTCCGGCAAGAGGAAGGGTTTTCTTCAATGTCTTTAACGGTACAAGTGTTGTGATATTGTCATCAGAAATGGTCAAAGATTCACCTACGGTGAAAGAAATCATCTTCCAGCGTCTCAAGGCATAGAGAAAACCACATGAACATATCATCTGCAGTAGCAACCAGAAGGTCAAGTTTAGCTCACGTAATCAGAAATTTCAATGCTTTCTGTGTCTGCTCAAGGCTGTTTGGCCCGGCTAACTTTTTGAAGGATGATTTCGCTTAAAATTTCAGTAATTAACTTAATTCTCAAAACATGAAAGACTACTGTAGGATTCAATTGGGATGGTACCTGAAAGAGTGTGATAACATTTGCACTCGGAAATTTATAAGACGAGAGAGCTGCTTTGTTGAACATCACCAATAACACTGCAAAACAAAATGGGAACAAATAAGTTAACTCAACAAAAATTCAAATTTTGAAAAACTATGCCAATCCCAAGTAGAAATTCGAAAAATCCAAATTCATAACAAAACACAATCAAGCAAGCACAGACTTTGCCCAATCGTATTCTGAACCCAGTAAATTATGGCATACAACAGCTCCCAATTTTCTTCAAACTTTTTGAACTTGAATTTTTAATTTCTAGGAACAAAAAGCTTCACTAATGCAGCATCAAATTGCAGGCTCCGTAATTTACCTGCGCAGGCCATGTAAGAGATTGCAGCGTAGGCTCCACGTCTGGTCATGGCGGATCCTCTGAAAAGCTTCTCATCGTTATCGTCTCCGACGAGTCTCTCTCTCTCCAGGTCTCTTGGAGGATCCGATACTGGCAGTATCAAATTCTTGCCCGAATTCGACGCCTTCAGAGACATCTCTAATCTCTCTCTCTCTCGCTCTCTCTAAGTCTCTGGTTGTGATCAGAGAGAGAGTTCAACGTAAGGGAAGAGGAACGATGAATTCAATTCAAAAGAAAGACGAAAGCTCATCTGGGGCGGGTCGAAATGGCCAGGTCCGATTAGGACACAGTCAAAGCAAAGTCGACTAAATTGGGCTCGGATCCAGTGATTTTTGGATCCGGTTGCGGTTGGGGCAGGTGAGTCGGGTATTGTACGGGTCAACTCGGCCTGTCTGAGACTCGGATTGTGATATAGTTTTTTTTCGCTCAGTAGGGCTTTTCGTCGTCAAGTCAATGGATATTTGAAGTTGACCCGGCAGGCAATG